GCCCTGCAATGGAACGGTTGAAGGGCTGTCACCTCTTTGCCTTTGGATGGAGCTGCCTGGGAAGAGCTGGGAAGAGGGAGGTTCTTTGAAGCAGAGGAGGATCAAGGGGGCTCAGCTGCACATCACAAATTCTACCTTAGCCAAATGGTCTCCCTCCAAATGTCCAAGTGCATCCACTGCATTCTTCAATGCAGCACTACTTGTTTTGGAGGTGGGGCATGATCAATCTTTCCATAGGTGTTGCTTTCAACCTACTTTGTGGTGTCTTACTCCTAAGCTGGGTCAGCCTTTCTGTGCAGTGCCGCTTTGAGGGCATGATGAGGGTTGTGGGGGCTGTAGGCACAGTGCGTGTTTTTAAGAGGTGATTTCTGAGGCACCTGTTGAACCCACCGTCTTTGTGCCGAGATAGCAGCATCAATCTTCATCTGTACTACTGCACACAAAAGAGTGTCCTTTGAGAGGGATGAGGGAAAGTCAGACAGGCTGATGTTGGGATCCATCTTTTCTCTCTGCTCTGCGTTTCAGGTGTGCCTCCGTCACCAGGAGATGTCTTGCTTCAGACCGTGCCCCCCACGCCCCTGCGGCCCCTGTGGCCCAACCCCACTGGCAAGCAGCTGCAGTGAGCCCTGTGTCGCCCGCTGCGCTGACTCCAACGTGTTCATCGAGGCCTCCCCGGCGGTGGTGACCCTGCCGGGCCCCATCCTCACCTCTTACCCTCAGAACACGGCCGTGGGCTCCTCTCTGTCGGCCGCTGTCGGGAGCTCCCTGAGCGCCGGGGGGGTCCCCATCTCTTCTGGGGGCTCCCTTGGCCTGGGCGGGTCAGGGCTGTGTCTGCCTGTGCCCCGCTGCGGCCTGAACTGCTGAAGCCAACGGGTCATCCCCTGAGGAGCAGGATGGAAGACAGGGACTGTTGCTGCAGGAACGTGGGCACAGCTTCTGGATGGGCTGGGAGTCCTCTTGCCTCCTGGCAGGAGGGACCTGTGCCCGCTGCTCCTCGCTGCATGGCAACACTTGTCATGCTTCATCTCCCTTTGCTTTGTTCAGTGCTACTCGAGCAAGGGCTCCTTCTCTTCTGCTTTGCTGAACGGGTGGCGGGGGCTCAATTTAGTGTGTGCTCTTGGTGGGCTGGGATTGACAGCAGGGAGAGCAGAAATAGGTTGCATTTCTCAGCCTCTCCTCTGTACAATTAAATTTGTTCCTTCTCATTAAAGACTTTTTTGCAGCACAGCTGTTGTTGACTTGTGTTCTTTTGTCCTTCTCTCTCACTTGCCTGATTGCTCTGCAAGGAAGAGCTATGTTTTCTGTTTTTAAAAGATGAGGCATTTCTATCCTCAGTGCTGTACCACTACAACCCCTCATCAGTCATCACTGCTCGAGTGCATGAACTTTGGGGCAGGAGCATGTCTTCCCCAGGCTGAATGCTGTTGCCTTTGCTTTCACTCTTAGTCCTGTCACTCTTCCCAGCAGCAAATGCAAACCCTTCTGCAGGGAGTCCTTCCTCTGTAGAAGACCTGAACATTTTCATGACAAGTGCCTTTACTGGGACTCCCCTGGTATCATAATTTTGGTCATTCCCAGTACTGCAGTTCTGTGGTCTCTCTCAACCTTGCCAAAGGGTCTCAGATTTGATTCAGGACCGCAGAATTTCTCTGCAAGGCCAATCTGCATGCTGAGTCTCTCCACAGGTGTAGCCTCTTGGGTTATGGCTGTGAAGGGTCTGGAAGTGTGTCATCAGGGGCCTGTCATGATCAGCAAAGGTGGCAACGGCAGGTCTTAGAGTGGAGCTTTGCCCCCAGAGGTGCATGGAGGCGGGTGTGAATGCAGAGGGTATGTGTGGAGCAGGGAGAGAGGGCAAGATGAAGTTGTTGTAGCCAAGTGGTGGAGGTGATGGACTAGAAATCCATTGGGGTTTC